TTTTTATTAAAATTTTGCAGATGCGGCTTATAGTGAGGAGCGCTCTATAGTCCGGAAAATACGGTACTTGTGCCCCACACCCATAAAGAAATATTAGGAAACCCAAAACAATTTTCTCTTAAAACAAGTTTCAGTAAAAATCTTCAGTGCTATAGCCAAAAAAGAAAAAAAAAAAAGAAAGGATCGCTCGAAAATGGCTTCAACCTGACCCCACTGATGCTAAAGGACTGACTGAAACTGATGGAGGAAACACACAAAATGGAAAAGTTAACGTTAATATGCCGAGACCACAGGCGGATCTCTACAAAAGAGATGGAGAAAATAGACTAGATTTCTAGAGAAAAACTGAATCAGCTCTCTTATTCTTTGACATTATATATGCTGCTCTAAAAATGGAAAGTAAATCTGAATGCTGCTTCACACCTGTAACTTTTTATCTTTGTCAGAATGCAAGTGATTTCTCTTGCCGACAGTTGTTCTGTTCTTTGTTTTGTATGTGATCGATAAATGTAAACCAACATAGTTTTAAAAAAATAATAAAATCTGTTTCAGAATAGAAATTCCACCCTTGCGCAGTCATGTGGACAGCGAAGACGCCGACATGTTGCCCATCCTGTAACTCCAAACACATCTTACCGTAGAAGTTTAGCCTTGCTCTGTAGATTGTCCAAGAGCTCAATCTTCCTGTTCATTTCATTCACTTCATCATCGAGGTTCTGACGGGTGACGTCTACCTGCTGGCACAGCTGTGCAAACACGCCTGTCAGCTCTCTGTCAAAGACGAGACCGAAACACAACAAGTTGACATAGCTCTGTAGTGACCAAGTAGTAGACACTTTTTACTGTCGGAACATGTAATCTGAGTTTTGTCTCCCATTCACAGCACGGTTGAAACTCACTGCTGGACTTGGTGGCTGCAGTTGGATCCAGTGTAGCTGACAATTAGCTGCAGCTTCTCACTGGCGTAGTCCACAAACTGTCGCTTGAAGGCTCTCTCTTTGGCTTTGGTAGTCCATGTGAGTCGCTCGTAGACGTAGAGAAGCCCATAAAGACCCAGTGACAACGCAATCAGGCGCCATCCCACTGCCTTCCAAATCTGCACACAGTTGCAAGAGCCTCAAGTTATCTTTAAACACTTTGGCGTCAAAACATACTGAAGAAAACAATTATCACTCCCAAAGTCTGGTGTGTAGCCCCTATTGATATTTATTGTTTTACATACATTTCTGCTGTGTAATATTTTGACCCATTTAATAAAATTGTTCCCACATTGAAATTTTTCCAGAACCTGAAAGAGATGTAATCAATGACCTCGATCGATCTCGGCGTCTAATGATAAGAGAGGCAGAGTCTTATAATGAATTATATTTTAATGAACTATTCAGAAAGTGTGACTTGAGAAATGAAGTGAACAGTAAAGACAAGAGAAGGAAATTAAATAATATACCGAGTAGGATTTTAAACAGATAATAACAAAGCCAAACCAGAAGACTTGGACTCGGTGCTTTGCAGGCGGACACGCTTAACCAGGACTGGCTAACTCCAACAAAAACAATTAAGCTAATTTCAAGCAGCATCACAAAAACACAGAGCTAACCCAGCAGCAGCTAGATAGCCTGACTCTAAGAGGTTTTCTTAGCGAGTTAAAGAGGGTAAGAACTGATTAATGACAGTAATGATAAACACTTCTGTAATGCTGGCAGTCGTGTTCACTACGTCATTTGATTAGTGTAATAGTGACTCAGTTGGAAGGGAATTATTGATTATTGTCGAATGTTTTGATGACTACGCAGATTTGGAACGATTTCATAAAGATGTATTTGACCCTGTAATTAACTTACCACACCGCCGACCACAAGGACACCCATGGAAGTACGCGACGTAAGAGATGCGAGACCTGTCACCATGGTGACCATGAGCTCTTCCTGAGTCACAGAACTTTGTGGGAATGGAGGCATGCTGGTGCTGACTGGTGTTAGGGCCATGGGCCGAGGAACCTGCAAGTTTAGTAGCAAAAAAAAGAAGCACAGATCTCTTTTATTCGGGCGTGATTATAGGTCATGCTTCTACAGCACCACAACCTTCCTTGTAGTAATTAAACATGCAAAATACAGTGAATTATTGACCAAAATACTCCAATGTTAACAGTATTTCAAAGGAGAAACCTGCTAAAATAATAGATAACAAGGTTCTTTATCACCAGAGGCCAATTTAACGCCATCCAGATAATGTGACTGACTAAGAAGTTTCTTTTTCAAAAACCTGGGAAAGATTACCTGGTCGCTGTAGCCCATGAGGGCCCGTCGGGTGTTCTTGGGCCCTAGAAACCGGTTGACAAGCATGGTCCAACCAAGGGAAAAGTGGAAGCTGATATCCTCTTGAAAATCACTACAGAGCTTGTCACAGGCCAGGTCGTATGTAAGGTTGAAGAACTGACGAGGAATAATCTTGTTGGCCTGCTCTCTGATCGAATTTGGCAGCAGAGGCTTCAGGCCCTCTGTAATAAAAATGGTTTAAAAATCAGTTGAGATCAATTTACATTTACCGAGACAAAACACCATCCGTGAGATGACGACAAAAAGAAGCATAAAACAGTTGATAAGTGGGATCAATGATAACAGTAACCCAATTTAAATAGATGGTGAAAGTGATTTTTACATTAAAATATGATCAAAATGCTCATCTTCCTAATAACAACATGCAAACTGTAAGTGCAAACTTTAAGCTGAGTTTGTACGCTCATTAACTCCCCGTCTCCCTCCCTAAAAGCAATGTTTTCATCATTAGAAGTCCCTTTAGAACAGAGGTTGTCAGACTGATAGAGCCGCCCCACCCTGGTCACGTCCCTGTGACACGACGGCACAGATTCACAGCTTTCGAGTTAAGGAGACAACACTGCGGCTGGCACGGGAGAATCTTTATTTTATGTAAAGTCCTTCTTTTCACCAGCATCTCCAGAGGCTCTACAGTCGTCTCCAGAACAGCTTTTTTTTTTTTTTTTTTTTTTTTTTTTAAATCGGGTCGTTAAGCCTTCTTAGGACCCTGACTGTGATGCTGCTGCCCCAACAGGTAACAGCAGAAGAAATGACGGCCTCGACAAGAGATTTACAGAAGACCTGCAGCATCTTGCTGCAAAACTTGATCTGAACTTCTTCAAGAAGTCCAGTCTGCTCTGATCCTTCTCGACGGCTTCACTGTTGCGTCTCCAGTCCATTCTGATGTCCCGGCGAACGCTGAGGTATTTATATCCCTCAACCACTTACATTTCTACTGCCACGATGGAAACGGGGTTTGATCGAACCCTGCACAAAATGCTGCATTTCAATGTGGGGACAGAGAGGTGCTAGTTTAGTTTGCTGACAGCAGACACATAACTAAGGGTCAGAGGTGTTCGTGAAGACTCGCACATCAAGCATGCACACTGTATGAAGTCTAATGAAACCTAATGCAATTTTGATGGAGTTAACCATAGACATTACTGATCTGACATTGTAGCTTGCAGCAATATGTAAATGGCACAAACCAAACATGAGACTGTGCAGAGACAACAGACAAGAAGTATTAGTATTTAGCTGCCTGATATTTTACCTATCATCTCCATTTGTGTGGCCTGCAGGGCGTTCGTGATGGAGCTTGAGCACCTTTCGGACATGGTCTTCCCCAGACCGTCCTCTATGTGGCGATGGAGTTCCTGAAACACAAAATGACCTTCTAGTTTATTGTTAAAACTGGACAACTGTTTGGGAGTTTAGCAAAAACTCAGACTGTGTAATTCAAATTGAGTGAGGAACTAAAATAAAACACCCATCAAGTCCGTTGGTTTAAAACTCATAACACAATTAACTTTACATGCTTGTCAGGCTGCAGCGAACGGGCATACATCTCACACTCTGCACATTTACCTCTCCTTCACCTCTCCAAACCAGTTTGACCTCATGACAGGCTGCTGGCAAAAATAAATAAATAAAATAGCTGCACAGTCTTCAAGTGACCAAAAAACTATTTGCTTGAGTTTGTAAAGGCCACACCAGTAGTGACTGATTTGATCGTTATTATTTAGACTACATATTATTATTCTGTGAAAGATGTCTCCTGTGTAATTTGAAAATGTTTCTTACATTTAAAAGCAAGCATTATACCTTCCAGACTATAAGCCACTGCTTTTCTCATATGTTTTAAACACGGTGATGCAGCTAAAGCTCGCCTTTTGAGTCAGTGGGTGTAGAAAGGTTTGGACTGCTGCACGATGAAGAAGACAGGACAAACTCCAGAGCAAATTCACCTCTACACAAAAGTGACAATGAGAGCAACAGCGACAGAAAGACTTAAAATGAGTTCAATTCCAAAACTGAGGAAGGCAACTTTAGTGCGTAGGTAGTGATCAATGATCTTTGCTTTTTTTGTTTTGTTTTTGTTTTAAAGCAGTCGTGGTACAAGCTGCTTAAGTCTTAAAAATTGTATATCTCATTTTACAACGTGGAAACCTGCAGAATAGGCAGGTGTGACCTGTACATGTACACAGCTTTTCTTGTCGAAGTTAGTGGGTGTGGCTTATATTCCGGTGCGCACAATGGTCTGGAAGTTATGGTACTAAAAACTGCTCTGTGAAGATTGGGATTTAGTATTTAAAGTATAAATTCTACATTAGTTTCTTTGCTTAATGGGGCAGTATTATGTAAAAAAGATACAGAGGCTCAATTTCAAGGCGTTAAAATTATGAAGTCAAATTTCATTTAAGTCATATTTCATTTATACAGCATTTATATTGTAATCTAGCAACCAATCAGGTTATCAAATAGATCTTTGAAACTTCTTTTGTTTTGGCTGGGTGCAGACTTAAATATTACACCTTTGACATTTTATTTCCAAAAGTCATCATTCATTAAGATTAATCTTTTTTTTTTCCAGTTTTTTCTTAGCCAAAGAAATCATGAGTTCATTTTCTATTTTTCAATTCCTTACATTTACATAAAAATAGGGAAATTAGCCATTTGAGTTTGGTAGTTGTTGTTTCTAAATGAATATATGTTGACCTCAAAGTGCACCAAACAAATTAAAGCACTAAAAGGTTTCGTTTTCTCCCCTTTCTTAATTCTTTGATATGCACCGACTACTGAATGAACCATTTTAGAAACTACCAGGTGAAACTCACATTTTTGTAGACCTTGAGGACGACAGGTGACGGGTGGAAGTCCATGTGGAAGTCATCCACTAGGACATGAAGCTTCCTTATTTCCTCTGCCATAGTGTTAGTTACCTGGACAGGACAACAGACACACCAAGTCAATTAGTAAATGTTCATGAATCGTTTTTCACATTCTAATTCACAGCCTGTTGCTTTTATTTTTTGTCGTTTTGTTAAACCAAGCTAACAATGGACAGAGGTCAAGGACAAAAGATTTACTGTCAGTCGAACTGAGGCGTTTCTGTCAATGATAAAACGGTCAAGTACACATTTTGTTTAATGTTTCTTAAACTGTGTTGGATTTTCAACCCTAATGCCATTCTGTTAACTTCACTTCTGCTATTGAAAATATATGAAATGAAAGCCACAATTTATCGAAGTTTTAATTTAATACGGATGTAATGAACTAAAATACAGTAACATTAAGCAAATTTTAAAAGTCGAGCACTGTCATTACTTTTAAAACAAATACTCAACATTATAACAGAGACTGTGATGTCACATGTCATAATTTTATCTCACCTGTCTCTCCACATCCTCTGTAATCCTCTTGATCTTAGCCTTGCAGTCCATAGTCAACAGATCCAGTTGTTTCTCTATAAACTCCAGCCGTTGTTGACGATCCTCTTTTGTCTCCAAGCAGTAGAGTCTGAGCAAACATGCACAAAAGTACAAACTCATTAAGCTGGAGAAAGGAGTTTGATTATAACTTGCTATATATATATTTTTTTTTTAAAAGTGGTACTCAGGGCACCGTGACATAGACAGACTTTCTCTTATTGGGGCTAATATCTGGAAAGGTGTGTTTAAAAAATAAGACATGCATCTTTTTAAAAGCAAAAAAAAACTATAACCTGGAGACTACCACCCCGGTTGGATCATCGGCAAGGAATTGTGGAGGAGATTCACTATAGACAAGCTGACATGTCTTCAAAGTACTCTTTCAACAAACGCTGGTCTGAATGATTTACATATAAGAGCAGGGAAACATAATTAGATCCAACACTTTGTAGTATTGTTTTTTCCCCCCACAAAACTACAAATCTGTCGCCCCCAAAATCCAAAATAAAAGATTAAAATGTTTTATTTTAATAATGAAAAATGTTAAATTTAGAGTACAAAAAAAAAGCTCAATGTTTTCAATACTTTTGCAAAACGCTGTCACACAAAACAATTTTAGTCATTTAACACCAAATCATTAGTGCAGCTTCAGTTTGTGGGAGAGACACCCCACAGCGCTCATGTGTTTCATCCTGACAGTACAACACACACTCACCTCTGTTCTTGGGCAGCTACATGCACCAAGTCCATAATGCGCCGCAGAGCTTCAGATATTTGCTTAGCTCTTACTGTGTGCTGTTCGAACTTGGTCTTCACCGCAGACTGAGATATGCACTCCTAAGTACAGCAAACCGATTAAACAGGCAGTCAAGCAACCTGGACATCAATGCAAAATGTGGATGTCTCAAAAAACCTAAAGTCTGCAACCTGCTCACATGAAAACTGTCATTTTGAAACGTGTGTATGAATGATATGCAGAAGTTAGCTAAAGCACGATAAGAGGAATGGAAACACATGTTATGATGCTCCACAGTAAAAGGGTCTTACTTCAAATCGCCTCTCAAAGTTTTGGAACTCAAACATTCGGGCTTGAAATCCCTCAGCTAGAGCGCCACCTGGAACAACGGCAAGAACAAAACCGTCTTCAAAATCCTAGACACACGTCACCTTTTTATTAATAACAGGACTGACTTTACATATTGGACAGGTATATACATTTTTCTTTTGTAGCCCTAAAGTTTTAGTAATGCACACAAAACCTAGTAAAAAAAAAATAGCACAAGTATTTGACATTTACATTTTACAATGTTGTATTTTATTAAAATACAGAACCATTTTTTTTAAAGAACACGCTGTTGTATTTTGCAACCTTTCAACAAATATTAATTTTTTGCAGATTAATTTGATCGATTATTCTACTTTTTCTGTGAATTCCAAAAACTATATTAGAGATAAAATGGCTTGTTTTTTTTAAATGGCTTCTTCTAAATGTTCAAAAATGGATCCTTTTAATGGCTCTTTAAAGTGAACGGATCTTTAAGATTTGGTTCTCACAAAATCCATTGTTGGTTGACAGTCATTGGTAATGGTTGGGATTATTGCAAGGTAATAAATGAACAGCCTTTGTTTTTGTGTCATTCTTTTGTTCTGTTCCCAAAAAAAAAAAAAAAAAAAAACACTCTCCCCACCCTAGGCCCCCTGACACAAAGCCTGTTCAACACCACAAGCAGTTAGAATCCAATCAACCTGATTCAGGCATCCCTTGGGCCTTCTGCACACGAGCCTGAAGCACTTCTTTAGCTGAGACGAAGAAGATGCGGTCGCTGGCCTGGGCTCTGTCAACAACGCCCAACTCATCCACAAGAAAATTAGTGCAGCGGTCCATATGCTGTCTGCGAACCTGTGTTGAGATAAACATACGTTGTGAAAAAAAAAAACACAACAGATTTGGGAACAAAGGTTCTGAACTGACCAGGGGGCCTCATGTACAAGCGCTCCATACAGTTTACCATCAACATAAAATTCCTCCAGAACTGAGACTCTTTCACATAAAATTGACTAACCTCCTCCATATATTCTGGCTCTGAGGCAGAGGCATCCCAGCGGTTGTTGAGGATAAAAACATTAGGACTGGAGAGACGCTGATTGACTTTATGAAAGAAGGACTTCTCCTGCAGAAAGTTAAGAAACGTTTTAAAACGGATAGCTTTAACACGATGGGCATTTAAATAATTTACATTAAACAAGCAATTGCACAATTCCCAGGTACTTTAGCTTTATACTCGAGTCGGTTGTTTCTGCAGAACAAAGCTTTTGTGTCTCACTGTTTGCATGAGCGTGGATTCAGAGTTTGCTACTAGAACAAACACATCTGCATCAAGGCAGAACTTGTCGATCCAGCTGTCCAACTCGGTGGTGACGTCGATGCCGGGGCTGGAGAGGAGAAAAGCATGAAAACCTAAGCTTTATGAGGCAGCGTCAGCTTTTGTGAAAGAAAAGGACCGGTTACATTTTTCTTCAAAACTGAGTACTAACACTCCAGTTAAAGCTAAAAATCAACTTTCAACTAACCTGTCCAAAAGCACCAAATCATCTCTTAGTAAAGCACACTTTGCTTTAGGCCACATGACGCAGACCAGACTGCCAGCGTCCAGATCCACATCCTGAAGCAGAGCATGGGCCAGCTGGTTCACCGTCTGATCAGAGACATCAATGGGTCAATCTTTACTCACAAACAACATCCTACCACAAACAGACCTATTTAGTGTACACTGGCAGCTGGAGCTGTCAGTCAGGTCACTAACCGTTATGCTTTTCCTGTCCTCAGAGCCTTCAGTGAGCAGGAAGCCTTCATTGCCATCTGTGCCCTCCACCCTCAGGAAACAGTTGGTTGTGTGTCCAATTCCAGATGGCAAAACTTTATCACATAACATGGCATTGATCACAGAACTCTTCCCGTTACTGGTTCTGTGAAAGAAAAGCATGTAAAGCCAGTTAAACCTGCAGTAATTTCAGAAACCTACCTACACTTTATGTAAAATGTTTGATATTTTGAGACGAGCAAAAACTCTGCTGTCAGTATCGACTGATCGTCGATCACCCAAAATTAAAGAAATCGGGGCAATCGGTGTACCTCTAAAATTTACCCGCCCCCAAGACCAAGACCCAAGCGAAACACAGAAGTCCACCATAGCAAATCCTTCCTGCCCACAGCCATCACCATAACTTGAGTTACATTTACTTTACATTTGGGACCAATAAGAGGGAACTGAATTGAGTTTGAATGTTTGTGGGAAAGAAACAAAGCAGTTCAACTTGCTCATAAAAGTTTGTGTGAAGATAAATACACAATTACCAACTGCTAGAAAATGTAATTTAATTTACCTTCCAAAGAAAACCACCTTCATATGCCTCCGTGCTAGCACTTCTCCTATCCCTGCCACCTTGGACAGGTAGCCGCAGACCTCCTGAACCTGCTCCTCAGTGGTCAGTGGGTCCAGCTGCTCATTTTTGTAAGTATCTAAACAGTGAGGGACACAGTGGTTAGCCGCTTAATGATCTTCCTTATCCTTGAAACAATCCTAATATAAGGCATCGTATTTTGTATAATTTCAGACTATGAAAACTATAGAGACAGGCAGTGTTTTACCCACTGTAAATTATCAGACTGTTACACTTACAAGGCCACAGACTACTTACTAAAACTTGAAAAAGTACACTACGCATATACTGTCTTCCAAAGACAAAATGCAGGAGCAACACTGAGATCTATCACAAGCAAATCAAATCAGTTATCTAAAAGAGGGATTGTTGTATTTACATAAAGATGTTTTAATGGTTAAACTGGAGCAAAACATATTTTCATATTCTAATTATTGAGAAGTGAGAGAAATCTTAAGGTGGGAGCAGATCATTTCTGTTTGAGCAAAGAAGGACAACTGGGGACTCAAGATTTAAATGGGAAGGAAAAAATGCTGCCTAGCATAAAGTTATATGGTAGCAAAATGTTACATATTTAGTATATAAATGTCTATTTTTGCCCATGTGAAAGTTTAGTTTGAGGATTTATCCAATGTTGAAGACAATATAGCCATTTCATTAATATTATATTAAAGGAATTATATGCTGCTGCATTTTGTTAGATTTTTCTTTTTTTATTGTATTTGATTATCAGACATAAACCAGATGTTAAAGTTAGATTTTATTTGAATGACCTTTTCTTCATAGACCACACACACACATGAAACTTTCAGGTTTTTGTTTTTGATTCAAATACTTTCACAAAGGGGAAGATTGTTCCCATCTTACAGTAGATCTGTGGAGATTAGGCATTGGTTGGTTTCGGTTTTCAAGGTATAATCCCGTCTAAACGAATAAAATCTGCTATTCTTTTGCTCCCATGAGAAGACGGATGGCAGCTTGGGAGGAAGAAGGTTGCTCTACGTACAAAACCTGACTAAATGACAGTGGCAGTGAGAGGACGCTTACTAAAAACTCTACAGTCAGAAAACAGAAAAGCTTTGCCTCTACTAGCACCTCATAAATAACATTTATGATTATTTGATGGATACAAGAGGGCATTGTGAATAAAATCTATTATTATGGCTCTGACAGCAACAGGTCATGTAAGAGGGTAAAGATCAGACCACAATCCAGCAAACATTTAAGAAGCAAATCAGCTACATATTCACATCAAAGCATGTAAAAAAAAAAAAGAAGCAAAATCACACATTTTAGATCCGTGATCATAATACTGCAAGACCTCATAACAGTGACATTTTTACCAGAGGTTATCATAGGTGATAATTTTATATATATAAAAATACCTTCCAGAAAGGCTGCGCTTTCCTTGATGTAGGTCGCAAGTTGTTCAAATATTCCATTGATCTTCTTCTTTGCGGTGACAAAATGCTTCAGTGGTGACGCATTTACTTCAGCCATTGTTCTGTTTTTCTTCTTGCATTGAAACTGGACAGGGTTGGGTCTTGAAACAGATATAGACATGGCACTGCAGACATCAGAAGAAAGGTTACCCAAACATTTATAGTAAAATTAATCCACGTATATAAATCTCACTGTCCGATATCCTCAAGACCCTTAACTGCTTTAAGCCAGTTCCTTAAAAAAAAAAAAATCTAAGACGTTCACAGCTTTGTAAGGAGAAGCTACGAGTCAATTCTAACGCCTCTCTTTCCACACTTTTGTAAGTCAGCTCAATTATGTTAAAAAAAGAAAAAGAAGAACTTTGTGTGAAAAGCCAGGTTTTCATCAGTAGGCTTGATAAAGGTGGTTAATGAATATTAGTGAAACCTCTCAACAGACAAATAGAGGTGCATCAATAAACCAGTCCCGATTTCATTCATTATGGGAGATCAGTAATCAGCCGATATTTACATATGAAGCCGATCTTATGCACCAACCTTATCTACCTATAAACCAGCCACTGTCCTCTTTTGCCCTTCAGTGAGAAGGGGTTAAATGACAGACCAGCCCATCAGGTCGTCTCTGTACATTTGCAGTTAACAATGGTCACCCCTATTGTTGACAACTCAGCAACTTTCTTGCTATACCTAGCAACATTTCAGACAAAAAAAAAAAAAAACTATATTGGCCAAAATCGGCACCGGCAAGTCAGGCTTGTCAAAGATCTGTGGTTGGCAATTGGTCAGAAAACTGCAATCAGTGCCCCCCCCCCACCCCCAAAAAAAACAGAGGCTTCAATTATACCTTAAAATATAAAAGTAATATTATGAGAATGGTACTAATGAAATAAAAGAAAATAGTTTAATCATGTTTTATTTAGCTACAAACTACAAGGCTTTTCTAGAACATTTTATTCACCTATTAAAAGTTAACTTTCTTCAGAAAGTCCATATAGATTTTGTAATTGTAGATTTACTTAGGAGTTCAAGCAAAATGGTTTCAAAGGCTTGATGTCACCTCGACTAGGCAAAGCAGTTATTCCGTAAACAAAACCCAATTTTCTTTTTTCGCGTCTGCTTGATGTGCTACGAGATATTTTCGTGAAAGGCTACTTATAATGATTTTTCAAAGGTCTTGCATACATGATTATTCCAATTTATCATTAAAAAAAAAAAACGTCTCATAGAATAAAACAATCCGGGAGTTTTCGTCTCCACTGCCGAGGCGCAGGCAAATGTTAAAAACTGATGTTGTAAAATAGTTAAGCTACTTGCCTTGGATCAGGGCGTTTTCACGAACAGACACCTTGCATCATTGGTTAGGACAGGGTCGGTATCCTTGCATGCACACGGGCTGCGAAGGTTAGTGTGTGACCATTTGAGCTGACAGACGAGAATATAACCCGTCACACCGCAAGCATTTCTGTCGACACTACAATTTTAACAGCTTCTGTTCGTAAAATTATAAATATCAGTTATGCTGTTGGGTCAAAGCAACAAGCGCAAAAGCAACACAGGCTCAGCGCCGTTCCTATTAGCTTGTTTTCGTCCTGTCCCTTCTCTCCAAATAGACAGCTGAGCTCCGCAGGAAACGGAAACAGAAGCACATCCGCTAAAGACAGAAACTTGTCTTCTTCTTCTCGGTTGAGAGACCAAGAATTATCGCCACTAACTGGACTGGAGTTTGGAAATGTAAAAAACGATTAGATTTTTTCCAGAAGATTTTTTTACTTTTCAAAAGTGACATGACTTGATCTATTATTTTAATTACGTTGCTTCCAAAAATATTTTCTTTTGTGTGTTTTATTTATTTAGTCCTTGTTTGAGCTCATTTGTGGTTCATATGTGCTGCGCCTTCATGAGTATGGAGGACCAAAACTGACATAATAAAAAATAAAAGCATAAATACATATTTTGTTTTTCCTGGTCCTCCATACATGAAAACATTCGGGACAAATTCAAGTAAACTGCAATGAGGGTTTTTACCCTGATTAAGGTTTTCTAATGATTTTAATAAAATTAGGTTTGTTAAAGCTGCAGTATGTAACCTTTTTTTAAGTGCCTCTATGTCATGACAGT